ATGTGCCTCAATGTCAACAGTGACTGCCATTTTCTGTATTTGATAGGCGTGTACCATCGGCACGGCCCCACTTCCTTTCTTCTGATGGCAACACTTGGTTCATCTCCATACACAGAACCGATTTCCCTTCTTGCGACTGTGTTGCTCCTTTCACTCCCACACTCTCTTGCTCCTCTGGGAAGTATGGCTTCAAACGGTTGATATGACACACCTGTATCTTGTTGAGGCGATTCGGCTTGCTGATCTCATAACTTACAGGACCCACACGCCGAATAACCGAGTATGGACCACCAAAGCGTGATTCCGTCACTCTACCTCTCCCAGGTAGCAACATCATCACTCTGGCTCCTGCCTCGAACTCCCTTGGGACAGCCTTCTTGTCATACCAGATCGACATCTTCTCTTGCGCTGTCTTCAGGTGATCAGCAGCCAGCTCCTTTGCCGTTTTCAATCGCTCATGGAATCTTTGCACATACTCTTCCACTGTCACTAATGTCTTCTCCGCCGTCATCTGCTCCTTCAGCATCAATAACAGGCTCCTTACTTCGTGCCCAGACACTAGCTGGAATGGAGAGAATCCCAGAGACTCAACTATAGCATCTCGGATCGCAAACAGGGCTGGACAGACAGCCTCATCCCATTCTGCTCACTGTTCTGCACAATACACTCTTAAGATGGTCTTCAGAGTGGAGTGGAACCTCTCAATCGCTCCCTGCGATTGAGGTCTATAAGGAGACGATCGTAATTGGGCTATTCTCCAGCTCGCAATAGCCTGCCTAAACCACCTCGACTGGAAAACACTTCCATAGTCGGACTGGATCTTCTTGGGCACACCAACCCAAGCAGAGAACCGCTGAAGGTGTCCCATGACGCATCCCGATGTCACCTTCCTCACTGGGATCGCCTCTGGAAATCTCGTCGAAGCACACATGATGGTCAATAAGTAATGATTTCCCTTTCTTGTCCTAGGTAATGGCCCCACAACGTCGATTATTAGGCGATCAAACGCCTGGCCAAACGCAGGAACTGGAACCAAAGGTGCTTTTGGGATGGCAGGGACGTTCTTCCCCGCCCTCTGGGACGGAAAACATGTCTTGCAGATTCTTCTTACATCCGCGTCCATGCCCGGCCAATAAAAATGTTCTCGAAGCCGGCCTAAGGTCTTGGTTACTCCAAAGTGACCCGCGGGATCAACTGAGTGTGCAAGCTTTAGCACCGCGCCTCTGTACTGCGCTGGCATCACCACCTGACGCCTCACTCTCAGCATATCATCACCCGCTTCTTCCCTAACCGGACTCCACTGCCTCATTAGCACTCCCTTCTCCACGAAGAAGTGAGTTGGTGACTCGACTCGGGTCCGGCGAGACCTCCTTCCGCCTCCCGTACCAACTCAGGAAACTCTTCCTTTTGCAGCTCACCTAGACGGGTGCGGTCAATACCTAGAGGACTGGTGAGAGTAACTTGGACACTCCTCTCCGACCCTTCCTCACCTGTCGCCTGTCCTCTGGCCTCTTCTCGGAACAAACGATCGAGCCCCAGGTCACCCGGCATGTCCTCTTTGGCGTGACTGGATCCACTCACATTATCTTCCATGACGTCTCGTCCCAACGTCACCGTGCATACCGGAAATGCCACTCTCACAATTTCCGTTTCGCCACTGCTGGCGCCCGTCCCGCTGCTCTGTCCATAGGGCTCTATACACTCCTCACCCTTAATCAAATTCGGGAGAACACATCCCCCACAGGAGTCATTCCCTAGGATCACCTGAGCTTCCATCCTGGGCAGTAAAGCACAGACCCCTATCACGAGAGTCTGACAACCATAGTCAGAATTAAGAGTCACCTTATGAAGGGGCATCCTCACTTGTCCCCCCAACGTCCTTATCAGGGCCTTCCCTGTACTGGAACTTCTGTAGTCCTCGGGGAAGAGGGATTCACTAACAAGGGTGAAGTCGGATCCAGTGTCCCTCAGCATCCTCGCTGGCACAGGATCAGCTCCTGTTATCTTCACCGTCCCCTCACACACAAAGGGGTGAATCCTCTTCTCCCTCATCACCGGCATATCACCCGAGTTATCGTTGGCTTCTTCGCTTCCTATCCTCGCGAAAGCCACGTTCCCACCGTGCCTGGGGCGACTGAACTCCCTTGCAAAGTGTCCTTGTCCCCCACAGTTGTAACACCGACCACCTCTCTGGGGTGACTCTCTACCAGTCATCCTGGTAGCACCAACGGAAGAGGTTCCCTGAGTCCTCCTAGGACTCCCCGTCGTCGGTTCCCGGGAAGCAGCACTCGCTCCCGAGCTAGGTCCACTGCTCACAGCTTGGAGCTTCCTCCCCATGTCCCTTGAGCTCTTGAACTGGGTTACTTCATCGGGCACACTACTCTTGGGGGAGTTCCCACCCGTCCTCGCTCTTCCTGAACTCCTAAAGTTCCCTCCCGACCTGGGGTAAGGCGAGTGTCTGGGCGGCCCCTCCCTCCTGAGATGTAGTGCCTCCTCCAGCATGTCGGCTCGGTCCGCTGCAGCCTTCACGTTCTTAATACCTGCTTCTCTCACCCTTACGCGCAACTCAGGATGGAGCACTGACATAAACTTCTCCATCACTATCAGCCATTTGATATCATCCGCTGACTCCGCTTCCTCCGCCTTCAACCATCGTAGGAATTTCTGTTCCATATCCCTGGCGGTCTCGGCGTAAGACTTTCCCGACGCTCTCGTACACTCTCTGAACCGCTTCCGGTACATCTCCGGAGTCAGCCGGAATGAGTGGAGCACCGCATTCTTAATCTCGCCGTAACTAGTACACTCCTCTAGGTCCAGCATGTTGTAGGCTTCCCGGGCCTCACCGGTCAATCTGCCCTGGACCAGAGCAGCCCAATCATCTTCCGGCCACTCCTTCAGAGTCACTATCTGTTCGAAGTGTTCGAAGAACGCCTCAGCCTCTTGTGGTTCAAACGTAGGTAAGTCACGTTCCCTTACCTTGAAGTCATCCCGCCGTGCAGGTAGTGAGGGCAACCCACGCTCAACGCAACGCAATTCGACTTCTTTCTTTGCCTTTATCTCCTCCAGTCGCAGTTGTCTCTCTCCTTCTCGCCGCAGCCGAGCTTCACGTTCCTCTCACTGCAGCCGTGCTTCTCGCTCACGCTCCTCTCGCTGCAGCTCAGCTGCACGCTCCTCTCGCTGCAGCTCAGCTGCACGCTCCTCTCGCTGCAGCTCAGCTGCACGCTCCTCTCGCTGCAGCTCAGCTGCACGCTCCTCTCGCTGCAGCGATGCTTCTCGCTCACGCTCCTCTCGCTGCAGCTCAACTGCACGTTCCTCTCGCTGCAGCCGCGCTTCTCGCTCACGCTCCTCTCGCTGCATTTGCGCTTCTCTTTCCTCTCGTCGCATCTTAGCTTCCAGTTGCATCTTCATTATTTCCAGTTGCAGGCTTCTCTTACTACAGCTGGACCTTCCACTGCTCCCATGTTCACTGTGAATTCTCCCCTCACTGGTAGGCGCTTGGGGTGGCTCTAGTCGGGACGGTTCACCTTGGGATGGTTCACCTGTTTTGTACTTGGGTTCTTTTATAAAAAAAAACTGCGATCCGTGTTGATCGACTCACACGGAGGCTCCATTGTTCCATTAACGTAACGTCGTTATCTATCTGTCCGGAAGTACCGGCACTTGATTGACTCGTGGGAAGAGTAACATCATTTTAGAATAACGTAAACGTGTTGCCTAATTACCGTTATTAGCCACCTGAATTGGTCTGAGTATGGAAGGCTCAGACGGAATTCATACCTTAATGTAAATTGCTGACCCAATGTGAAAGGTTGCCTATTTAATTGATTAATTATTGATCTTGAGGATAGTAATTAATTGTTCTAAGTAATCACGAGTGATTACCGTTTTCTTTGCACTTTGGACATTGTAAATCAGAGTTAACTATCGTTGAGTGATAGTAACCGATAACGTAAATTAACGTAACTAGTAAAGAGATTAATCAGCTGTCTGGAAGTACAGGGATTAATAGGATTTACTCACTGAATATTCGACGGGTAGCGTATTTGTGTAATTTCCGCGTTACTAGTGACAGTTGTAAGATTTATAAAGTTAACATAAATGTTACTTTGTTATTAACGTAAATCAAATTGTTATTGATTGTTCATCGTCCGTGGGACGGAGTGTTAACGTAAAGATTAATTGTGGAAGGGTTGCTGGAGTTGCCAGTGAACCCATTAGTCATTGATGTGTCATTGACAGGCTACTGATTTGATTGCATTGCAACCGCTATTGCAGGTGTAGGCTGCAAGGAGCGTAGGGAACAGTTAGGAGGTTACTAGAGACGTGTCTCAGAACCTACTGTGTCATAGTTGCCAGTGTGATTATAGATCTATCATATTTGCTAGTTTGATTCCTCTGTGTTCACGCCGTATGTTCAAGTTAGTTTATTATGCAGTCCGAGGGGCTGTTGTCTAGCTGTCATTGAAAGTGTCACAGGAAGGATTTCGATTAACGTCATTGATATTTCTTTTGTTCTTGTTGTAGTAGTTAGTATTTTATTGAATAAACTAAGTTGTTATGTTGAACACTGTCTTTTCGTTACACCCCACACATTTATATTGCCCTGCAAGTGTACTGTCACACTCGACTATTAAATTGAGACTGATTCATGGGTTTTGGACTGAATATATGGCACCACACAACAATAAATTATTGTTGTGAGAGCGTAAGACCTACTCGTTAGATTCGCTTCGGCGATTGGCGAAGGTCGACGGACTAAGTGGAGGGGATTTCAACTTTTTGGGGGTCTCAGCGTTTGCTCGCGCCTAGTCAATTGTTCATAAAGGGTCCCAGAGTGAGGAATTTTCAGAGTTCAATTCCTCATTATTTGTCATCCATTTTTTCAAACTCTCACAGCATGCCGGCTTTTGGTTAGTGCACGATAAATGGTAATTTAGAGAATGATGTAATAGCAACTGGTTATGTAAGATATGAACTGTAAAACGTGTTAAGTTGCTTACCATGTTGGCAGGTGGGACCACTGTAGCCTGGAGCACAGACACAAGAGCCAGTCACAGCATGACATATGCCACCATTTTGACAGTCAGGGCACCAAGACTGGCACTGGGGTCCATAACGGTCACTCTCACACTCTGTAACAACACACCATAGACCTTAAGGTACACAGTCACCATACTGGGGTCCATAACGACCAGTCTCACACACTGTAACAACACACCATAGACCTTAAGGTATACAGTCACCACACTGCGGTCCATAACGACCAGTCTCACACACTAACAACACAACATAGACCTTATGAAAGTCATTTAAGAGTTCTAAATGATCAAATATAAATAAACAACAGCATTGTGACTATTGTTAATTTTCTTTAGAATATTTTCCATTCTGCATAAATACCTTCTACCATCTGGAGGGTGAAGAAACACCAAATCACTTAAATCTTTCCATTTTATTGATCGACGTTTCGTCAGCAATGTGACATCTTAATTAAACGAAAATTCTGGACGTTTTCGTGTTTGACACATTATCGAGGAAATACAGGCAGATGACATAACAGTTTGGGATTGTATGCCCAACTACACCAGACCAGACAAAGATCCATAAGCTGATATATCGATTAATGGAGGTGACATGAAGGTGAGATGATTCAGTGGATATTAAGTAGGTATTCCTTTATTCTTGGAATGTACTACACACTCACTTATTGTTTACATCTTTTTATATCTATTATCTATCTTACCAATTATAAAGTTATCTAATTTATAAAGTTCTAGTTCAATATTTTTTTATGAATGAAGATTCAACAATTATTTTTATTGAATCTTATTGAAGAAATATTACTGAATCTTCATTTATAAAAAACAGTGAATTAAATAATATTAATGCAAGTCAAGGATTATATAAATTAGATAACTTTATAACTGGTAAGATTATAACTAATTATAATCTTGATTGAATTGTCAAATCATCCTATCCGAGTCTTTATTATGGTTTAAGTATCATTGATACGGTGAGCATATGCATGAGAGTGCAAGGACTAAGAGTGAGGGTAACCCTCCTTCCAACTCCCCCTTCCCCTGGAAGAGTTGGCGGCATATCGGTGTGGTGCTAGGGAATATTCAAGCCAGGACATCTGCCCTCTTAATATCATTTCCCCAGCTTACTGGCATGTGGACAGCATTAAAAACGAATCTAGACAAGTAAAAGGGGTCGCCTATATCCACTACTGTAGGCTGGTGGTAGCGTATATAGAGAATAAGATGTCTAAGTGGTGTCAACGTACAAGCGGAAGCGTTAGAAATGCAACCTTAGCGTTATAAAGAGAGATACTCGGTTATAAATTATGTCAAAATGAATTCACTCCGTTATACTAGCAGAAGCATATCAATGCACCCTACACCCCTGATAACACATTAAAAATTAACTTATAATAGCACTATTAAGGTACACTTGTGACAACTCTTAAAAGTGCATTCCTCAAAGAGTTTCTGATATCTGTGGAAGGGGACTTCTGACAGTATTATTAGAGCACATTCCTGAGAGTACTATCAATGAGCACCTTGTAAGACACTCGCCTACTACAGTAGACAACCATCTTAGCAACATACACCACAGGGTAAACAACCATCTTAGCAACATACATCATAGAGTAGACAACCATCTTAGCAACATACATCATAGAGTAGACAACCATCTTAGCAACATACACCACAGTAAACAACCATCTTAGCAACATACACCACAGTAGACAACCATCTTAGCAACATACACCACAGTAGACAACCATCTTAGCAACATACACCACAGGGTAAACAACCATCTTATTAACATACACCACAGGGTAAACAACCATCTTATTAACATACACCATAGTAAACACCTATCTTAGCAACATATACCACAGTAGACAACCATCTTACTAACATACACCACAGAGTAGACAACCATCTTAGCAACATGCAACACAGTAGACAAAAACGCAACTTGAAAAATACTGCAGACATAAAAACTTACCTCGAACAATTAGATGTAAATAAGCACCATTATTTTCAACGTTAGACTTGGCATTCTTAAAGATTTTCGATGCTATTCTGTACCATAACACATCAATTGTGCCACCATTACCAAGGATGTATATTCCAGCGTCTCCGAGTGTGACCGGGTCAAAGGTCAGGGGAAGAGAAACATTAGCAGTGGCCCAAGCCTCATACACCCATTCATCTGGAAGTCTGCGGATGAACACTTCAAGGGGAAGACCTTTGGACTTGGTGATGGGAACACTCAAGTGGTCTCCAAGACTGGCGCGAATGGTGCTTGTGACAGACACGTATAACTCTGTGAAGGTAAAACAATGTCATCATTAATCATTACTTGTTATTGTCTAATACGTTGGTGTAAACAAAGACGGTTGAGAGTAGGGTCTGGGCTGGTGTAAACAAAGAAGGTTTATGTAGAGCTTGGGGTGGTATAACGTAAGAAGGTTGAGGGTATAGCTTTGGCTGGTGTTAACAAAGAAGATTAAAGGTAGTGTAGTTTAGTGTGAGGGTAGGGGTCGGGCTGGTGTAAACTAAGAAGGTTGAGAGTAGGTCCTGGGCTGGTGTAAACTAAGAAGGTTGAGAGTAGGTCCTGGGCTGGTGTAAACTAAGAAGGTTGAGAGTAGGTCCTGGGCTGGTGTAAACTAAGAAGGTTGAGAGTAGAGTCTGGACTGGTGTAACCTAAGAAGGTTAAGAATAGAGCTTGGGCTGGTGTAAATCAGACTTTCACTGCCCAAGACACCTTCCTTCTCTCAAACACTACTCTGTACTTGCACATATTTATAAAGACATCATTTCAATCTAATAAAACAATTTGTTTGTATAAAGGAATGATACGTATATATAAAGGACTTTAGCATCTTATATGGACAAAGGGAAGAGAAAAGTTATATTTTTCTAATTTATATATTATTGGAGGATGCTATAGCAAAACAAATAAACTTATGGAGGCCGACTAAATTCATGTAGAGATTATCATATAAAAAAGTTCCCAAATAGCAAGAAATAAAAGATAACGTGATATATGGGCCAAGACTCACGGTGTGGGACTTGCACAACGGCCAGAACATCTGTAGCAGAACTCCTTCCCAGGCATCTTACAGCTCGCACATTGTCTTTTCTTGGTGACTTCTGGTAAATAGCCCATCTTCCTGAATATAAATGATAATAAAAATGAATGAATACGAGTTGCTTATGTTGTGGAAGATGCCACTTGTTATGTCCTTCCCAGTAACAAAATATATTCCTCTTAACAAGTGTTACCATCCATAATGTTTATGAGGACGGCACTTTCTCTACGAGAAGGGCCTAACATCCATGCATTAATAATAATGATGCGCCATCCTCTTCAACGTTATGGAGGATTAATAAATAATGTAAACTAATTCGTTTTGTTGGGAAGAGGAAGCTGATACGATACAGGTAATTACGACCCCGGTAATTACTTGGTTCTCACAGATAAATTTACATATTATGTTTTGTTTTGTTTTGCATAAATATTATATTATCTTGTAGGATAGTACATTATTGTAATATAATTCCTTATAGTATACGTGATCATATGCTTGCCGTGAAATGGACGTGTCCAGTTCTTGTGTGAGGAGGACAAGTCTTGGTCGGTTGGTTGTGTTGCCAGTTTGTTTCATAATTCAGAAATATTATTTCTTTTTACGAATGTTTATGATTTTTAGTTATGAGTCTAGAATGTAACCAATACTATGGTGGAGTGAGTATGTCTGTTTGGGAAGTGGTTACTTCCGTATGAAGTGTGTTAGTTAAGAGTTATGTCAAGTGTTGGTAACTCTGGGTGTGTGGGTGAGGGAGTTTGAAGGTGAGAGGCGTAATGTGGCTCAGTAGCATTTAGGGGAGACTGGTCGTAACATCTCTTGTCAGTTAAGTATTGTATGGTTGTGTTCTTAGCTTTATTGTGTTTAATCAGAGTGGCACACTAATAATTATTTCACTCCAATAAACCCAATTTCCTATTTTATATACACACATTATATATATATATATATATGAATGAAAACTCACACCCCAGAAGTGACTCGAACCCATACTCCCAGAAGCAACGCAACTGGTAACTACAGGGCGCCTTAATCCGCTTGACCATCACGGCCGTCAAAAGGAAGTGATAGCCGAGGCTATTTGAGCCACTTCCCCGACGGCAACTCGGATGGTAATCTTGGGCATAGCATTTCACCAAATCACCTCATTCTTTGGGGCACACGTGAGGAACACAAATGCGAACAAGCCTGAATGGTCCCCAGGACTATATGCGAATGAAAACTCACACCCCAGAAGTGACTCGAACCCATACTCCCAGAAGCAACGCAACTGGTAACTACAGGGCGCCTTAATCCGCTTGACCATCACGGCCGTCGAAAGGAAGTGATAGCCGAGGCTATTTGAGCCACTTCCCCGACGGCAACTCGGATGGTAATCTTGGGCATAGCATTTCACCAAATCACCTCATTCTTTGGGGCACACGTGAGGAACACAAATGCGAACAAGCCTGAATGGTCCCCAGGACTATATGCGAATGAAAACTCACACCCCAGAAGTGACTCGAACCCATACCAGTTGCAGAAGCAACGCAACTGGTGGTCAAGCGGAAACTACAGGGCGCCTTAATCCGTGATGGTCAAGCGGATTATTCATTATAACGGCCGTGATGGTCAAGCGGATTAAGGCGCCCTGTAGTTACCAGTTGCGTTGCTTCTGGGGAGTATGGGTTTCATTCGCATATAGTCACATTCTCGCATATATATATATATATATATATATATATATATATATATATATATATATATATATATATATATATATATATATGGGTAGCCAGAACTCACTTCTGCCTACTATTCAAGGCCCGATTTTTAAGCCATTCGCTTATGAAATATAAAGTCCTGGGGACCTATATTTATAGGTAAGGTTAGGTTAGGTAGCCAAAAAAAGCACGGCTTGTTCGCATTTGTGTAGGTACCTCACGCCTGTGTCCCCAGGACTATATGCGAAGAAAATGAGTGACTCGATACTTGGTGAAATGCTATGCCCAAGATTACCATCCGAGTTGCCGTCGGGGAAGTGGCATATAGTCAAATAGCCTCGTGGCTATCACTTCCTTTTGGACGGCCGTGATGGTCAAGCGGATTAAGGCGCCCTGTAGTTACCATTAAGGCGCCCTGTAGTTACCAGTTGCGTGCTTCTGGGAGTATGGGTTCGAGTCACTTCTCACTTCCTTTTGACGGCCGTGGGTGTGAGTTTTTCATGGGTTCGAGTCATATCATTCATATATATATATATATATATATATATATATATATATATATATATATATATATATATATATATATATATATATATATATATATATATATATATATATATATATATATATATATATGTCGTACCTAGTAGCCAGAACGCACTTCTCAGCCTACTATGCAAGGCTCAATTTGCCTAATAAGCCAAGTTTTCATGAATTAGTATATTTTCTCTAATTTTTTGCTTATGAAATGATAGTTACCCATTTCATTATGTATGAGGTCAATTTGTTTTTATTGGAGTTAAAATTGACGTAGATATATGACCGAACCTAACCAACCCTACCGAACCTAACCTAACCTATCTTTATAGGTTAGGTTAGGTTAGGTAGCCGAAAAAGTTAGGTTAGGTAGTCGAAAAAATTATTCATGAAAACTTGGCTTATTAGGCAAATTGGGCCTTGCATAGTAGGCTGAGAAGTGCGTTCTGGCTACTAGGTACGACATATATATATATATATATATATATATATATATATATATATATATATATATATATATATATATATATATATATATATATATATATATATATATATATATATATATATATATATATATATATATATATATATATATATATATATATATATATATATATATATATATATATATATATATACATATATATATATATATATATATATATATATATATATATATATATATATATATATATATATATATATATATATATGTATATATGTGTCGTACCTAGTAGCCAGAACGCACTTCTCAGCCTACTATGCAAGGCTTGATTTGCCTAATAAGCCAAGTTTTCCTGAATTAATAAATTTTCTCTAATTTTTTTCTTGTGAAATGATAAAGTTACCCATTTCATTATGTATGAGGTCAAATTTTTTTATTGGAGTTAAAATTAACGTAGATATATGACCGAACCTAACCAACCCTACCTAACCTATCTTTATAGGTTAGGTTAGGTTAGGTAGCCAAAAAGGTTAGGTTAGGTTAGGTAGGTTAGGTAGTCGAAAAAACATTATTTCATGAAAACTTGGCTTATTAGGCAAATCGGGTCTTGCATAGTAGGCTGAGAAGTGCGTTATGGCTACTAGGTACGACATATGTATATATATGTATATATATGTATATATATATATATATATATATATATATATATATATATATATATATATATATATATATATATATATATATGTCGTACCTAATAGCCAGAACGCACTTCTCAGCCTACTATTCAAGGCCCGATTTGCCTAATAAGCCAAGTTTTCATGAATTAATGTTTTTTCGTCTACCTAACCTACCTAACCTAACCTAACCTAGCTTTTTTTGGCTACCTAACCTAACCTTACCTATAAATATAGGTTAGGTTAGGTTCGGTCATATATCTACGTTAATTTTAACTCCAATAAAAAAAAATTGACCTCATACATAATGAAATGGGTAGCTTTATCATTTCATAAGAAAAAAATTAGAAAAAATATATTAATTCAGGAAAACTTGGCTTATAAGGCAAATCGGGCCTTGAATAGTAGGCCAAAAAGTGAGTTCTGGCTACTAGGTACGACATATATATATATATATATATATATATATATATATATATATATATATATGTATATATATATATATATATATGTATATATGTATATATATATGTATATATATATATGTATGTATAATATGACCGAAAAAGTAAGATTAATAATTCTAACACGAATTTTCTCAATATTTCTTATGTTTCTTTTCACTGTCGATGGTAATTGAAAAATCAGTTCTATGATTTTTCTGATTTTTCAATTACCATCGACAGTGAAAAGAAACATAATATATATATATATATATATATATATATATATATATATATATATATATATATATATATATATATATATATATATATATATATATATATATATATATATATATATATATATATATATATATATATATATATATATATATATATATATATATATATATATATATATATATATATATATATATATATATATATATATATATATATATATATATATATATATATATATATATATATATGTCGTACCTAGTAGCCAGAACGCACTTTTCAGCCTACTATGCAATGCCCGATTTGCCTAATAAGCCAAGTTTTCATGAAATAATGTTTTTTCGACAACCTAACCTACCTAACCTAACCTAACCTGCCTTTTTCGGCTACCTAACCTAACCTAACCCAACCTAACCTATATAGATAGGTTAGGTTAGGTTAGGTAGGGTTGGTTAGGTTCGGACATATATCTACGTTAATTTTAACTACAATAAAACAAAATTGACCTCATACATAATGAAATGGGTAGCTTTATCATTTCATAAGAAAAAAAATTGTAAAAATATATTAATTCAGGAAAACTTGGCTTATTAGGCAAATCGGGCCTTGCATAGTAGGCTGAGAAGTGCGTTCTGGCTACTAGGTACGACATATATATATATATATATATATATATATATATATATATATATATATATATATATATATATATATATCGTAGAATCGCTGTTTACCAACGTACCTGTGGACGAGACAATCGGAATGATAGCCGACAGAGTGTATCGTGATCCAGCCTGTACTCCTCTTGACATGCCAGAAAGTATTCTGAGGAAACTACTCCAAGCTTGTACTAAAGAGGCACCCTTCTTGAGCCCGGATGGGCACATGTATAAGCAAGTAGATGGGGTCGCCATGGGTTCTCCCCTAGGTGTCCTGTTTGCAAACTTCTACATGGGTACCATCGAGCAAAAAGTCTTAGTCGACATGAACTTGAAACCGGCCATATACTGCAGGTATGTTGACATTTTTACACAGGTACCTGATGTCAGACATCTGCAGGAGCTGAAGGAGGCATTTGAGCAGAGTTCCGTGCTGCGTTTCACTTACGAGACGGAAAAGGATGGGAAGCTGCCTTTTCTAGATGTAACAGTCATGGAAAAGGGCGGAGGTTTCCACACTGCAGTCTACACTAAGGAAACAAACATAGGAATGTGCCTAAATGCCAACAGCGACTGCCCCGACAGGTACAAGAGGAGTGTTGTTAACGCATACGTCGACCGTGCTCTCAGCCACAGCTCAGAATGGAAGCAAGTCGACGAAGAACTCTGTAGGGTAAGGCAGGTCCTAGTCAATAACGGCTTCTCCAATGGTTTCATCGAAGACATCATAAGAAGGAAAGTGAAAAGCCATGCAACCTCTGAAGAGACAACTAACACAACACCTATACCCCCTATTAGACTATTTTACAGGAACTTCTTTTCCACAGCTCATAAAACGGAGGAAAGGGTCCTGAAAGATATTGTTAATAGAAACGTTATCCCTACAGACAAAAATCAGAGGATACAACTGACGATTTACTATAAAACCAGAAAAACGGCCAGCCTACTCATGAGAAACTCTCCAGACACAAAACAGAACGCTTTAAAAGAGACTAACGTCGTCTATGCCTTCAAATGCCCACTTGGGGACTGTAAGCTCCAAAAAACCCAGTATATAGGCAAGACAACAACATCTCTTTCTAGGCGTTTAACGATGCATAAGCAACAGGGCTCCATTAAGGAACATATAATCTCTTCCCATAACCAAACCATCGCCAGAGAAATCCTAGTAAACAACACAGAAATCATCGATAGATACAGCGATAGCAGGCGGCTTGACGTTTGCGAGGCACTACACATCAAGAAGTCAACACCAGCAATCAACAGCCAATTATTGCACAACTATATTCTACCCACCTCAAGACTCCGCTCCAATATAGAAGCATCAAGAAATATGGACCAATAGGCTTTCTACAAACACTTCTATTCAATACCCATTGTTTCTGTTCTGTCTTGTGTTGATACTTTTAATACCCTATTAATATCCCCTCCTGTTCTGTCTTGTGTTAATGCCACATCACCCTTCCCACCTCACTCAAATGTAGATATAATATCAGAGAGACGTAAGTTCTAATCAGTTGTGTATTTGTGAAGTCTTTGAAAATGTAATAAGTTTTACGAAACGCGCCCGTGTCGCGTCAGACTAGAAATAAAAATGAATTTTGGAGAAGTGATTTTTGATTTACCTCCAACAGTGAAGCGTAATGTACGAAAGATTGAGAAAATTCGTGTTAGAATTATTAATCTTACTTTTTCGGTCATATTTAATAATATATGTCTACAGGAAAGACTGCTACCAAAATATACTAATATATACACCCAAAGTTGAACGATGAGGAAAATAAAAAACTTGTTTCAAGTTGGGAATAGATATATCCATCCTGATGGTCAATATTACCTCTCAAACAGACATACACAGATGGGAATAATGTACACAGATGAACACAAATTCACGCAACAAATATAATGTTCAATTTCAATATCAAGTAAAAAACAAGACCAAGAATTTACCTCTGTTTATTGTGCAGTAGTCCCAGTAACTGGTGGATGTAGGTTCCTTAATCGGGTCTGTGCCGCACCACATTTTATTACTGCCAGTCTCAGTGCACTCCCAGTATTCCTTTCCCTCATAGTTATACGGGAACACACACTTGCCACTTTTTTCTGTAAACCTTTCCTCTGAGGAGTTAACAATAAAAATATATAATTTATTCCAAAACTCCTTTAAATACAAATATAAATGTAAAAAGCCAAGTATGACATCAGTTTCAAACTGCCTGCGGCCGTTTTCAGAACTTTTGAATTATATAATATGATGAATGGTCAAGTAACTTGTTTTTGTAAGTCAAGCAGACCACGACGTCTCAACAACAGCAACTCACTCAAGCAGGAAGAAAAACGCTAACCCCACTCTAGCGTAAAGTGAGCGATTGAAACCTTAAAGAAAACTGAACGTAACAACCATGTTTATTATAAATTAAAAAAATTATTTCAGATTTACCCAGACGGGAGATTTAACCGGCATCCATGTACCAGGAAGGATTGGTTATTAATGTCAGACAATTTTTTTTTTTCAAACAATCTCCGTATATGATCAATTGTTATGAGATGGGGCCCAAGGAGCTGAAGCATGCAATATAGGGTGAGTAACTATACGAAATTATTCGCAGATGGTGTATCCGTATTATTATAAAACCTTTCTGAAATATTTTAACTGAGCAAATGAAACAAAATGTATAGTGTGAGGGAGACACGCGGCAGTAATGGACGAGGAGGCGTGCTAATACCACCATTGTTAATTATAGTGTGGGATTAAATGTTAAGAACACTAGTTACAACAATTGACATATTGAAGAGGATGAATAATAAATGACATTATTGTAAGCTAAAAGAGGCACTGCAAGACCTAAAGGATCTAGACGCTGAAGAGATGAGCAAAACGAATGATAAATTATATTATTGTCTGAAACGTAATATGGAAGGATCTGGACATAATAGAATGAGTGTAACAGGATTATATCTCAACTTAAAAATTTACAGAAGCAGAGGAAAGCACAGGTAAACCATTAAAGAGGATCCACAACACTTCAATAATAGACGACAACTACATGATATCTGTAAGGAAAAAATTGTAAGAACTACTGAACAATTTCTCAAATACTACTGTCATAATAAAAAGGCTACGAAAAGGCTCGTAGAGCATCTGGAGGGAAATAACTTTGTAACGCACTACCAACATGGGTTCAGGGATAGTAAATCCTTCCTCACAGGTTTAATAGAATTCTATGACCAGGCAACAAAAATTAGGCAGGAAAGAGAAGGGTGGGCCGACTGCATTTTCCTGGACTGCCAGAAAGCCTTTGACACAGTACCCCATCACGGGCTCTTAAAAAAGTTGGAGTAACAGGCAGGAGTAAAAGGGAAGGTGCTCCAGTGGATAAGGGAGTACTTAAGCAACAGGAAACAGCGAGTAACGGTGAGGGGGAGACATCGGAGTGGCGAGATGTCACCAGCGGAGTCCCACGCGGCTCAGTACTTGGACCCATTCTGTTACTAATATATGTAAACGATCTTCTGGAGGGTATAGACTCGTTCCTCTCAATGTTTGCTGATGAAGAAAAAATTATGAGAAGAATCATGACGGATGAAGATAGACAGAGACTACAGGATGACCTGGACAAACTGGAGGAAAGGTCGAGAAAATGGCCTAAAGTTCAATTCAGGAAAGTATAAGGTAATGAAATTAGACGAAGGGAGCAGGAGGCTGAACACAAGGTATCATCTGGGAGGTGAAATCCTGCAAGAGTCAAATAGAGAGAAAGATCTGGGGGTTGATATCACACCGAACCTGTCCCCAGAGGCCCACATCAAAAGGATATCATCAGCGGCATATGCTAGACTGGCCAACATAAGAACTGCCTTTAGAAACTTGTGTAAGAAATCGTTAAGGACCCTGTATACCACTTATGTAAGACCAATCCTGGAGTATGCAGCTTCAGCCTGGAGTCCATACCTAGTTAAACACAAGACAAAGTTAGAGAAGATTCAGCGGTATGCCACCAGGCTCGTCCCGGAACTGAGAGGAATGAACTACGAGGAAAGGCTAAAGGAGCTGAACCTCACATCCCTGGAAAACAGAAGATGTTAGTAAGTAAGGGGATGTTACGGACCAGAGTCCAGCGTCGGAGCACGGAGCAGCGACGACAACGCCATCTGTGAGTCCGCTCCCGAAACCCACTCCAAATGGACGACGCCATCTAGTGGTGACAGGATAGGCCAGCAATAAGTGTTGGATTCCTGTCCTAGTCAGCTCATGACGTAGCCACTGCTGACCTCTGGTGAGGTGGTGCTTAGACAGTGAACGCCATCTATGGAGTGAAGAGGTGGACGTTTCTGTCTAAGCTCGTGAGTGAAGCGTCCCAGTATTAATGACGTGTCTGATTGCAGAGTCGACCTGGGACTGCTGTGTTGGACGATGGATCAGTCTATCCAAGGCAGCCAAGGTCTCTTCACCAGTCTGCTTTGAAGAAGCTGTGAGCCACCCCTGGACGAACTCTGTTGAGAGTGTAATAGCCTGCCTGAGGCATGGCAGTGTCGGGAATCGCCTTATCCGGGGCTGGCTGGTGGAAGAGACTAGCCACTGTGGTGCTTAATAAGGAGAGTGATCAGCGGGTCACACGAGGCTCCTGCCTAGGGCTCGCAACCCTAGTATCAGTTGTGGAGTGGCCTATACAGCGAGGCTGACCAGTACCTGCCAGCTACAGGCTGGATTGTGGTTGAAGGCCTCCACGACGAAGCACCCAGTGGGACTGTGATTTGGCTGGCCTGTGGCCAGGGTAGATTCGTCATAGTCATAGTGGATTCATCGTGGGCCACGGAAGAAGGAACCAGGGCTACCCAGAGTGAACATCGTTGAGCATCCAGTGTCTTCGGAGGAAGACGCAACTGTACATAAGTGTAGTAATAATCCCCGCGTGCGACTGTTACTTATTTATATATGGTGGTGGTAAATATATTAGAAAAACTGGAACATTTGTAACCCTCCCCTTTAATTTAACTTGCGTTACGGAACACACCCCTTGAAAGCCTCTACTAACTTGGGGCCGGATTCCCAAACTCTACTACCATCAGAGAAGAACCCGGTTGCGTCCCAGTAGGGCCGTAACAGGGGAGACATGATAACCACCTACAAAATTCTCAGGGAAATTGACAGGGATGGACAAAGACAAACTTTTCAGCACGGGTGGGTCACGAACAAGGGGACACAAGCAGAAACTTAGTACCCAGATGAGCCACAGAGACGTTAGAAAGAATTTATTCAGTGTCAGAGTAGTTAATAAATGGAATGCACTAGGAAGTGATGTGGTGGAGGCTGACTCCATACACAGTTTGAAATGTAGATATGATAGAGCCCAATAGGCTCAGGAATTTACACTGCAAACACAAAAAATAAAACGCCACCCAAACTCCCAGGTTATGTAGCTTTCTCAAATGTTGGTTCACATGATGTCGGTATCGTGACGTATGTTAAAAGTAACCTAGTGTGTAAACATGTTAAAAACCACAAAATTAACGACTCATATTATCAGCAGTTTCAGACTGCTACAGTGACCGGGTTTCTTGACTTAGTTAATGTATATGTAAGGTGCGATCAAATGGTGGAAGCCTCTCTCCCAAAAATTACCAGCAGCTCTCAAACCATTGTAATGGGTGATTTTAATGCTAGACACACTAGCCTGGGTGACCCCAAAACAAACGGGTATGGCAGAGTCTTTGTAAAATACTTAAGAGATAATAACATGTCCGTATTCAACTTGACTCCTTTAGCGTCACACACCTCATGGGTGGCAGGCTTGATTATGTCATTGGTCACGGTCTCATTTATAATGCTGTCGGAGGATCAATTGTTCATGAATTAGTTAGTCATCACTTTGCCATATTCAGTTCATACACTATCAATAATGTCAAACCCCTAAGCTTTGAAAAAAAAAATAATTAATATCCCTGAAAATTTACACATGCTCTTCAAATTCCGCATTTCCGAATGGTATAACACTTACTGCTTTACTACCGTCAATGCATTATATGAGGACCTGGTCACTGAAGTAACCGCTTTTTATGACAATGTTGTAAAATCCACAAGACCCAAAACAGTGAAGAAGGGACAGAGGTGGTTCACTGACTCACGCCCTGCATGACAGAGTTCTATTCCTAGCTGAGCAGTATAAAACACATAAAACAGCTGACACCCTCAACATATTTCTTAAAGCCAGCCGAGAGTTTAGAGAGCTAAAGGAACAGGTGTATAACCAGCACTGGGAACAGTTTCTGCAAGGCATCAATCATGCAACATCCTCATCCCAAATGTGGAATAAAATTAAAAGATTTCTCGTCCTAGCAGTCGTCAACTTGATCACCATTCACCTGTAGACTATGCCGACATGATATTTCAGCAATATGCAAGCACTGCTAGTATAAGCAGCCTGCCCCTAGATGTGCAAAACTATCTGGCTAGTACCAAAATAAATCGTAACTTCAATATTGAAATTGCCTGTAGTGAAATAGGGCCTGATGATAACTATGGCATAACCCCTTTTGAAATTAAAAATGCACTCAAGAAAGGTAAGGCTACCTCTCCTGGAGAGGATGGCATCACATACAACACCATGAGAGTACTTGCTGAGTTGCCAAATAGCCCTTTGCTAGAATTGTTTAATCAAAGTCTAAGGTAGGGTGTTTTACCTGACCGCTGGACACAGGGACTTATAATACCCATACCCAAGCCTAATTCACAAAAATTTAGACCCATTTCTCTGACGTCGTGCATGTGTAAAGTTCTTGAGAGAATTATTCTCGACAGACTAATGTTTCAAATCAAGCCCCACCTTGCCCCTAACCTGTATGGTTTCCTTCCTGGAAGAAGCACACAAACTTGCTTTGCTGAGTATTTTATCAGAGAGGGAAACTCTCAGGCGGCATTTATTGATCTCCAAACTGCTTTTGATACAGCAAACTGAGAAATAATCCTAGAACAGCTAGCCTCTTTTGGAGTTAAGGGAAGACTGTTGACATGGCTCAGGGGTTACCTGAATAACAGAACCGCCTCAGACCTTTTCAAGGGGGTCAAAAGTAAATTCTGTGCACCCTTTGAGTTGGGTACACCCCAGGGTGGAGTGCTA